GAAGAGCCCTAAGATGTATTGACATTTGAAATGTCACAATTTTTTATGAAATTGTTCAAATGTATTTAGTAAATTTTTCTTACCTGTTATCTATTAAAGCATTTTAGTATTTTTATTATTATTTGTGGCAATTTAATTGTTAAAATATTTTAATATTATGAGTAAAAAAAATAATTAATACACCATTCATTTTAACAACATATTATTAATATTTATCCGTTTAATTATTAAAATTTATATTTGAAAGCTTTATCATTTTAAATTTAAAATTAAAAATAATAATTTAATAATAAATATATTATAAAATTTATTATATTAAATAGTACCCCGGAATAAACGTACTACCAAATAATAATTTAACTTCATTTCAAAAAAACGTACTTCCAAATAACTGGCTTCTTCAGTTTGCAGCTGGATTCACAGCTCAGACCTTGCAACGGAAGAAAAGGCGATAATGTCCGGATCCTGTCGGAACCGAAACATATCGTCCGGTTCCAACGTCACCCACGCCTCAATTCCCCTGCCGCAACTGTCGTCCATCATCATAACGAAATCTGTCGGCTTATGCACGCTTGCAATCCACTTCGGCCTTCCCCAACCAAAATCCGCTTCGTAGTAGGGAAAGCCGCAGCAGCTCGAGCAAACGCAGATATTGGCCGTCCCTCTTACTATTTCTTCGTGTATCTCCTTTGAGCAATCCGTTGCGGATGAAAACAGTTCCTCCGCCGCCTCTGTTTTTGCAAAATTTTCAGTAGCATTCTTCATGGCATCCTGCACCAAACCCACCAGTTCATCCAACTCCGGTTTCTTTCCCTTTGCTGTGAACCGGACAGTCAGATTCTTAAAGAAGTTTCCGGCAGCATTTTCCGGTATGTGTATGGCTGTTTTCCCTCGGAAGTTAAGGGGAAAGATTAGTACTGAATCCCTGAATTTGCCCTGTTTTGCTTGAGCCACGCAGATTCGAGCCTTCCAGATCAGAGCCATCACCCCCCGCGCTCTGGAAGGGCTATTTTTTGTTTTGGATTTGAGATTGGTGATTGCGGGGCCGGAAAACACGAACCTCTTCGTGATTAATTTGTTTGAATGATCGTCCGGCAACGGAACACCGTATAGGGGATTCAAAACTCTGGGAGGCAAAACAGAGGCAGCGTCGAAACTCAGACGCTTTACGCTGTTTAAACCGAAATTGCATGAATTGGCCCATCCGTTCGTGAACGAAAACATGGTGAACCCATCGGCGAGCTTGTGTGACAGACTTACTCCGACGGCTAATCCGCCACAGTTGAACTTGTTAACCTGAACCCCCAGCATTACCGATGTCCATGCAAGTTCATCAAAAGGAACCAACTGATTTATCAGGTTACCATCAGCGCCAGCGTCCCGCAGAACAACATGAAAATGGCTATTCACCTCTGCTTCAACCAACTCTGCACCTTGGTCATTACAATCGATGGAATTGTCATCTTCATGGAATCTACCGGCTAAAGGGTAGAACAGAGTAAGTAGCTCCGACAAAGATCTTTCCAGTTGCTTGAGTCTTTCGTCTTCACCGGAGATGGTATGCCGGTGAGAAGGGTAGAAGTAGACGAAGGAACCATATGATTTAGGAGCTATCTGATCGAAGCAAGTTAATTTCATGGTTCTGAGGTGATGCGGAGTTGGGTTCGATGGCTTTATCAGCTTTCTTGAATGGATTCGAACCTCCATTTTTATCTTTCTACAAAGCTTTAGAATGTAAGAATTGAAATAAAAATCTCCTTAAACAAAATACATGGCAGTTTGGAGAATTATCTCTGAAAGTTATGCTCACTAACTGATCAATGAAATTCCTCAATTAGAAACCTAGCATTATATAGAATCCAGAGAAAGAAAATATCCCTTTGAAGTTTGAACTGCAAAGCAGGGAAAGTAACTGATGAGGAGGTACAAATTCCATTAAATAAGATGAAATGAAAGTGATTAATGCATCTACTAAAAAAATTGGTTAAATGCCAAAATCTAGTCATTGAACTTTTAATTTTGAGCAGTTATAGTTCCTAAACCATAAACTATTTATTGTGCTATTTGTTTCTCAATTATTAAAAATGTATTTTTTTTTATCTTTCTAACAATTTTGTTTGTTAAATCTATATAACTAGTCTTTTTTTTTTTTTTTGTCCCTAAACCTTTTTTTTAACACATTTTTTTGTCCCTACACTAATCTTTGTTTTACATTTTTAATTCTTGAACAATTATAGTATATTTTAGTCATTAAAAGAAATTAAAAAATATTATTTAAACAAATTTAATGGACTAAACTAATATAATAACCAAAAAAGTGTATTTTAATAATTAAAATATAAAAAATATAAAAAAAATTTAAAGACTAAAATTATTTAAAAATAAAGGTTTAGATACCAAATTTAATGCTTAACCCAAAAAGATATAATTCACTGTCGGTTTTTTTTTCTTTTCTTTTACTCCATACATGCAGTGCTGTTGTGTCCGCATGTCATACCAATGAAGGTTTGGTTGAGCAATATGATTTTCATTTCAATTGTCTATTCCTCGGAAATGCATTGAAAAACTAGGAAACCGTCAGCCACTGGCCACTGTCCAAAAAGGGAAATACCATCTTCCCCATGCCGTGAATTTTTTCCCCTTCCTATTAGGGCTTTGATTGGCACAATTGCCTTTTATTTATTTGTTTGTTTTTTATTTTAAAATTTTAAAAAATTTATTTTTTTAATATGTACCTTAGGGTTTGCTTGGAATATCGGATAAACAATGGGATAGGACAAATTTTTGTCCTATCCTATTGTGTCCGACGTTTGGACTTTGGAGGGCTTTAAAAGATTGGATAATGCGTGTCCCATATCCTATCCGGTCCTTTCAATATTAAAAAAAAAGTTATAAACAATCCCCAAATTAATCAATTTAATTTGGGGTTATGATGTGTTTTATTCTTTTTATTACTGTTAAAAAAAATTAAAAACAAGCACTTGACCCTCATGAATAACTAGTGCGATTAAAAATGTATATATCTCAAGCAGCTTCAAAACCTTTCGCATGGCAAAAAGTTTAAAAAATAATAATAATAATAATAATAAATAAAAACAATCTTACCTCCCCAAGAGAAGGTGGGATTTCACAACTGTTTAAAACAAAAAACCAATCTCACCTCCCCCATGGGATTGGGTGGGATTAAATGTCTATTTTCAGTTTTTACCCCTCCTCTCCCCCATGATTCTTTACCACTTGTAGGTTTTCACGGCGCCGACGTTGACTCTAGAACCCATCTTCCCCGTCAACAGCCGGAATTGATTTTCTTCCTCATCTCCTTGTTCCTTGTTCTTCTTCATCTTCCTTTTCCCTCCCTTACTCCTGTTCCTCCCTGATTTTCGTCTAGTCCAAAGACCAGAACGTGATCTACAGTAAGAATCCAAGCAGGACTTCGGGTTAACAAGTGGGATCGGTCCGTGAGGGGACCTTTTTGGCAGTAATTTCGCCGGCATGGATCCATGGTCGCCGGTCGCTTATGAGTGGTTCTCCAAATCTTTTCTCCCTAATCATTGAGATTTGATGTTTGTGGTTTAGTTGTTTGGTTTCCTAGAAAAACAAAAGAAAAAAATTGATGTTGGTGGTTTGCTTTCTGAGCAAAC